TCTCCCTTCGGTCCGACGTCGTGACGCATTCCACTGGATGTCTGGATGGAGGGAACGCATGGATGAGCATGGGAACTCGCGGAGGAGCATGGGAGCGCTGGTAAGGGCGGCTGGCACTCACCTGAATGACGAACAGCTTGGGTTTCCCGTGTAGGGCTTCGCATTCGTAGAATCGACTCCAGAGTTTCCTCTCGTCGAAAATTTTAAATCACTTTCTTGTTTTCCGTGAAATAAATGGCAATCTCTTAATCTTAAGAAATCCATGTTGCAAAAGTGGAACCCTTTATAAATATGAATTAATTGAAACGGTTCGACGCCAACCACAGATCGGTGCTTCATACTTGCGAATGGCAAATGCAAGCAATGCCCTCGTTCTGCGAGGAAAATCGAGCAGCTACCAAACTCAGCTCAGAGAAAGAAGAACTCAGTACAACCTGATTGTGTTAGAGCCGCACTCAGTCTAAAGTCTGCCCCGTTCGCATTTTTATTCATTTTCTTCTTCGTTCTTCTTTGAACATCGGCACCGGCCGGTTCGAAATCTGCCGATGGTACCGATGTGGCCGATAGTCCGACACCGGCGACCGATACCGGTCTAAGCCGATACATCGGTACGACCCTAACAAAAACGAATCCGTTTAAAGTTAAACGCATCGGGTGCATGTCACCCTGAATCTCCCTGAATCATATTCCATGCCTTTTGGCGGTACCATCTCGTTTCGGAACCGCAGGTAAGGGCACGGGCTGATCGCGACGAAGTGAAGAATGGTGCGAGCCCATCCTCTGCCGACCCTTTCCTCAATGAACCTTCCCTGGAATCGCCTCTCTTGCGGTTTCACTCCACAGATGGATGCCTCAGACATGTCTTACTTTTCCGAGGAGATTCGTGGATGGAATCCTTTTGCGTTTCTGGGTTGCCATCCGTCCTCACCTCGTTCCTCCCCGGATTAAAAAATGTTATGACAAAAATTATAATTCGATCGACTGCTTCCCAACGGATTCATTTACAACTCCTTAATCCTCGACGGAAAAAAAGGATCAATGTGGTTGGGTTTTGAGATTAATTTCTCTGGTGAGCATGCCTCGGACGGTCGGCATTTCCTTATTTTCAGTGCCCCTTGCACGCTGCTGCTTGCTCTAGAACTGGACGGCCATGATATGTGCGACCATGTTCAGCATCTTCACCACGTCCATGGTCTCGGAATGCTTTTCCATCATCTTGCACAGGGTGTAGATGAAGTAGGAACCCATGTCCAGGTTTTTGCTCGTGACACACCCTGACCAGGAGGATGAACTCGTTATTTCGGCGTCGTACATTTGGTGCAATGTGTTTGGTATATTTTGTTTACTAACCTTCGTAGCGGGCCTGAGAGATGAGAATGTCGGAGTGGAGTACGGAAAGGCGAAATAGCATGCAATCAATATCATCACGAAGAATGCTACCGACCGTGTGTGTGGAAAGTACAGTTCACAGTCCTGCGTGTACTTTTTCCCGTGGGTGTAAGAGATTTACTCCTCACATCGTCTGAAAGTAGTCCAAGCTATGACTGGCATTTCATGGAATCTTTTGATTCGGAGAGAGATAAGGAATAGGTGAAAGGGGAGATATTTATCTCCAGCGGAAGGGGAGTCCCAAGGTCGACCCGTCCAGCTCCAGGCGAGTGGGAGGGGTATATAAGACGGCGCTATGCCTCCTCCCATGCATCAGTCGAGGCAGAGCATCAACCTTCAACGGTTCCTCGTCTCAATCTCCCTGGGATTGCGTGAGTCAGTCCCCCTATTCAGTTTCGTTGGCGTGGTTGTGTCATGTTCGAATAATGCTGATCCTTTTTTACAAATGGTGGTGTTGTCGTTTTCTGTGGAGGGAACCCGAATCTATGGCTGTCCTCCCAGTTTTCATTCCTAGAGGAAACGGGAACCCACGGCTGTCATCGCTTCCTTCAACTCTGGAGAAGGCGTGCTGCTAAGTCTTCGGTATTTCATGAGACCGAAAGCATTTGAAAATAGATGGGGTTATAGAAGTCGAGGTACAAGGGGGGCCAACTTGGGTGACTTTCTTCGACGATTACAAGAACTAATGAGGGGCGTGAGGGAAGGTAGGGAGGGGGGGAAAGGGAGTGAAATCACCAAGGCTTGGTGATTTCTGCCATGAATCAAGTAATCACAGGTTTTCTGGGCTTGAGTTTCTGCTAAATTCGTCGAATTTAAGTATGACATTGTATTAGTACAGAATCATGAGGTACATGGTGGCTCTCATTATTTACGTAGTCCTTAGTTGCACTTTTTCCCCTTTTTTTAGTCGCGTCTCTTGCGGTTTCACTCCATCGATGAAAGCCTGAAACATGCGTTTCTTTCCCGAAAAGATTAGTTGATGGAATCCGTTTGTGTTTCGGGATAGACATCTGTCTTCTCGTTCCTTCCCGGATTAAAAAATGTTGTGGCTAAAATAAAAATCCGATTGAGTGTTTCGCAATTTTGATTTACAGTTCCTCAATCCTTGACGAAAAACAGAATCAATATGGCTGGGTTTTGAGATACAGTTCTTTGGTCACCGTGCTTCGGACGGTCGGCATTTCTTTCTTTTCATTGTAGGTTCCATGCTGCTGCTTGGTCTTGAACTGGACGGCCATGATCTGGGCGACCATGGTGAGCATCTTCACCACGTCCATGGTCTCGGAATGCTTTTCCATCACTTTGCACAAGGTGTGGATGAAGTAGGAGCCCATGTCCGGGTTTTTGCTTGGGACATCCCCTGGTCAGGAGGTTGAATTCGTCATTTTGGCGTAATGCAGTTGACGTTATGTAATTGGTGTAATGTGCTTTGTTTGTTCTTACTGACCTTCGTAGCGGGCCTGAGAGACGAGAATGTCGGGGTAGATTGGCAAGTAATACTCGCCATGGTCATGGTCGTCGTCGTCGTCCTCGTCGAGGCCGGCTTCCTCGTGCGTGTCGTACGACTCGCGCCTTTGATCACCGTGCTGCCAGTCTCCCTTCGGTCCGACGTCGTGACGCATTCCACTGGATGTCTGGATGGAGGGAACGCATGGATGAGCATGGGAACTCGCGGAGGAGCATGGGAGCGCTGGTAAGGGCGGCTGGCACTCACCTGAATGACGAACAGCTTGGGTTTTCCGTGTAGGGCTTCGCATTCGTAGAATCGACTCCAGAGTTTCCTCTCGTCGAAATTGTCATCCTTTTTATGGATTCCGCCTTCTTTCCTCATGGACAGGACGCAGACGACCAGGCAATCGTGCTCCTTCAGCTCCGCCGAAGCTGTAACTGCGAAGAGAATCGTAAAATTTTAATATCGTTCCCAATAACACACACGTCTATGTGGTCTGTGGTAGGTATTCCCTTAAATTTCAATCCTCATCTGGTTCCCTGTTCACCTTTTTCCGTCTCGGACGATGGCTGAGGTATGGGATCGTCGAAAAGGCAAATCATTTTGCTGCTGCGAATGGTTTTTATAGGCTGGGAACGCCGAGATGGAAAGCAGAAAATATTAAAATTTATTCATGAAGGGAATACTGAAAGTAGATGCTTTCTTATGTTGTCTATATACTTTACCCAAATAATTACCGAAAATTTGTCAACCTCCTTTCATGAATAAATTTGCATTATGTCGATTGTTCTTAGAGGGAACGAACCTCGTGCCCTCAGAGTCCCGTTAATTCAGTAACTGGTAACCGACTGACGCTAGCTGATCACCTCGCTAGGCCAAAGCAGATCCCACCATACAATGCGCAGGCGCAGTCGAAAGACGCAGTTTACACAACCACACGCCTTAGATAGGAAGGACCATTCTTTCCCCACCTCTAGCGATACTAAGTTGATCCGCCGTCTTGGCATTAAATCCATTTACTTTGGAATGAACGAATGCGCTCTGGCTTTGTGAGAGGCTGTCCAGCTACTTCTAATCGCTCCGAGTTGCTCGAGTGTCCTTGGTAAGAACAGAAGTGAAAGGTTCCTTGAAGAACGTGAGGTGATGGCTGTATTTTTCTTGTGCGGTATTTTTCCTGCATGTTATTTTCGAGAGTTGAAAATTTTCTCTGGCTTTCGTTCATCCCGAGATGCCATCGAATCGTTCCCTTACCCAACCGCTTCACTTCACTATACAATCAGGCGCCTGAACTTACACGCATTTCTGCTTTCATTGCCTGAACATT